TAACAGAGCAGCGGTGATCTCTTGCCACCGTGGAGTGTGTAAAAACATTAAAGCTCGTTTTGTTTGTGTGCAAAATATTCCGAAAATGAGTGAAAAAAAACAAGATAGCCACAAAAAGCGACGACGGCCAGCGCGAAGCGAAGACCCGTCGCGCGAGAGAAATCGGTCTCCGTGGACGCCGCCGCGTCCTACGTCTGGGAGTGCGGTCGCTAGCATTTCCGAAGAACGGATAGGACACCTAGTGGACGAATTAAAGATGCGAAATAGTTCACATGTGGTCCAGACAAATTTAATTCAGTACCGAAATTCGAGCCCGGAATTCCAAATTTGACGGCCGTTCAGTGGATATATAAGATTGAACAAATGGCAATGGCAAACGGATGGAATGAGGCGACGAAAATCGCGTACATGCAAAGCCGGTTAGAAGGACTTGCAAGGAAATGGTATGATAGTCTTCCGAACTATGACTTTAGCTGGGAGGAATGGAAACGAAAAATGCTACAAGCTTTCCCTGATCACCGTGATTTCGCAACAGCTTTAAGAACAATGTTGGCCAGAAGGAAGGAAGAGTCTGAATCGTGGAGCCAATATTATTTCAGTAAAATGGAGCTTATTCGAACGTGCGAAATATCCGAACAACAAGCTGTCTCTTGTGTGATCGATGGCATCCCGAACGAGATAATACAGACGGGTGCTCGTGCAGGTCGATACGAAAATCCGGAAGTACTATATTCTTCATTTTTGTCAACGTTAGTGAATCAAAGTAACGAAGGTCAACGAGGACAAAGTCAAAATGTAATGAGATCAACGTTCAGAGACAATAAGAGAAGACGGGACGATCGAAACACCCGGTCAAGAATTACATCGTTCTCGCGACATAAGCCCAAATGTTACAATTGTCACGAGGTGGGTCATTTAGCCAACGCGTGCATGAGACCTAAAATATAGTGTGGAAAGTGTAAAAGATTAGGTCATACGAGTGCAAATTGCCGCAAAAACGCCGAAAAACGTGCGGAAAACGTGTCCTGTAAAACTATTGGTGCCGATAATAAAGCTTACTACGCGACGTGTGTAGTGAATGGGCAAAAATTTTTGGGATACGTGGACACCGGATGTGGAGGTGTCATTATTCGCCGGGATGTGGCAGACAGTTTACAACTCAAATGCGAGAAAAGTTCTGCTGTTGTTCTCGGGTACAATGAGAGTGTAACTAAAGTCGTGGAAACGGTAAACGTGCTGCTGCAAGTGGACTTAGCTGAAGCGAACGTCAAAGCTTTGGTAGTGGAAAATTCTGTTCAAGTTTACCCCGTGCTTATTGGACAAGAATTCCTAAACAAAAATAAGATTCTGGTGGCGCGGAAAGATGAGGTTCGCATCCTGGAGGACGGACAAGATGAACGAAAAGTTGCCATCATAGCCGACGAAGATGTCGAGGTGCCGCCAAAAACCATGGGTTACGTACCCGTGACGAACAGGCAGCAGTATCAAGGTGAAGTCTATGTCGAAGGACAGGTAAGAAGTTTACCATATCGAGAGCATCTTATCGTTAGATGCATAACCCAAGCGCAACACGGTTGTGTGGGAGTTTGTAATGTCTCTGATTTACCTGTTGTTTACCACAAGGGCCAAATCGTTGTACGCGGTAATCCCTGTGTAAAAGATAAAGAATCTTGTCGCGACCATGATAGTACAAGTAGAGTATTAGCAATAACAGGCCCCGTAGATTATAAGCTTTTCACTTTCGAGGATATAAAGCCACTCGTTTCCCAATCGCTGGATACAAGTATTAAAACTCTATTATTGAAGTTATTAAACGAGTATCGCGATTGTTTTGCTACAACGACTAGTGAAATAGGCAAATGTACAAAAGTTGAAATGGAAATCAATCTCAAAGACGACGACCCTGTAACGTACCGCCCTTATAGATTGTCGTACGCTGAAAGGCAACAGACACGAGAAATCATAAACGACCTACTTGAAAACAAAATTATTCAAGAATCGAATTCCGCTTATGCTAGCCCAATTCTTTTGGTAAAAAAGAAAGACGGTAGTATGAGATTATGCGTAGACTTTCGAAAACTCAACGCAAAAACGATTAAGGACAAACACCCCTTACCACATGTGGAGGAACATCTTGATCGGTTGAAAGGTTGCGAATACTTTACGTCGCTCGACTTAGCATCGGGTTATTATCAAATAGCTCTAGCAAAAGAATCCATTCCTAAGACCGGATTCGTCACCCCTGACGGGCATTACGAGTATGTACGAATGCCGTTCGGACTCGTAAATGCACCAGCGGTGTTTCAAAGAACGATTAACCAAGTTTTAGGACCTTTGCGGTTCTCGGTAGCTATGGCCTATATGGACGATGTTCTGATACCGTCGAAAAACATAGACGAAGGTTTGTCCCATTTTTATAGTTATTTAGGGAATCAAACTTGACCGTAAAACTGACGAAGTGCTTATTTTTTCAAAAAGAATGAGAATATTTGGGACATGAAATTAGCGCGCAAGGTATTAAGCCGGGAAGTAGAAAAACTTTGGCAATCGAACAATTCCCTAGGCCCGCGACTGTCCGCGAAATACGCCAATTTATTGGACTTGCGAGTTACTTTCGCAAATATATAGCGAATTTTGCGACGATAGCTTCTCCATTGACACAATTAACAAGGAAAGACGTACCGTTTGTGTGGGAAGAAAAACAAGAAGCGGCTTTCAAGACTTTGAAAAATAAACTGACAAGTAGACCGTTATTGGCGATTTATGATGCGGAGGCACATACAGAAGTACATACCGACGCGTCTAAAATAGGTTTGGGAGGTATTCTGCTCCAAAAACAAAGGGATAATTCCCTGCGACCCGTAAAATTTTTTAGTAGAAAAACCAGCAAAGAAGAGCAAAGGTATCACTCTTATGAATTAGAGACCCTTGCCGTAGTCACCTCATTACTTCATTTCCGCGTCTATATAGTCGGAATTAAATTTAAAGTCATAACAGATTGTAACGCTTTACGCACGGCATTGACAAAACGCGATTTAATTCCAAGAATAGGGCGTTGGTGGCTACTGATCACCGAGTTTGATTTCTCAATCGAATATAGGCCCGGACATTCTATGTCTCACGTGGACGCTTTAAGCCGAAACCCCGTATTTTCAGATGACATTCAAAATTTAGATTGTATTCCCGTACTTTCAACCAACATTGTCGAAGAGGATTGGGTATTGTCGGTCCAATTAAAAGACGAAAGGTGCAAATACATACTCGAAGTTTTGAATCGCGCGCCGATAGATGCCGAGGAACGCGATCTTCATAAACAATATAAAATACAGCAACATCGTTTATATCGCCAAACCGAACAAGGATTACGTTGGGTCGTCCCGAAACTAGCACGGCGACAAATTTTGCGATATTATCACGACGAAGCAGGTCATTTTGCTCTTGATAAGACTTTGGAAACAATTGGTAAAACATATTGGTTCCCGGGAATGCGACGTTATGTGGCAAAATAAATTTCAAACTGTTTAAACTGCCTATATAACAAAAAGCCGACGGGAAAGAAGCCGGGATTATTACACCCAATACCAAAAAGTCCAACACCATTTGACACTATACAAATTGACCATCTGGGGCCATTCGTGAGTAGCAGCAAAAAAACAATTATTTGCTGGTTGTCGTTGAGGCATTTACACAATTCATTTTTCTCAAAGCAGTGCAGAGTACCAAAGTGGGCCCTGTACTGAATTTTCTTACGACAATTATAGACATGTTTGGGTCACCTAGACGAGTCATATCAGACCGAGGCTCTTGTTTCACCTGCAAAAAGTTTGTAGATTTTTGTAAAGACTCGGGTATAAAATCTGTTTTAAATGTCACGGCGACTCCCAGGGCAAACGGCCAAGTGGAGCGCATGAACAGCATAATCTTAAGTTCAATAGCCAGTTCGCTAGAAGAAAGCGAAGACAAATGGGATAGAAACATATCCAAAATTCAATTCGCCTATAATTCGACTGTAAGTAAAGCGACCGGGAAAAGTCCCTATGAGTTACTGATGGGATATAGACCGCGCAATAAGGGTGATGCGTTCTTGGCCAACGAGGTGGTGGTAGACGTTACCGGAACAACAGGGTTAACAGAGACTATCGATGATATTCGCAACGAAGCGAGTACAAATATTGCTAAGGAGCAAGAAAAAGTAAGAAACGTTTTGACGCAAAACGCAAAGAAGCCCCCAAGTACGAAAAGGGTCAGCTAGTATTGATCCTGAAAAATGTTGGGGCAAATGACGGAAAGAGCAAAAAGTTGCTCCCTAAGTATGACGGCCCCTTCATAATAAGAGAGGTGTTGCAACACGATAGATACTATATTGAAGACATCCCAGGCACGACGCGTGCAAACAAGTTTTACAGGGGTGTGTGTGCTATAGACAGAATGAAGCCGTACTCTTGTGACGCTTTCGACGATGAAAGCGATAACGAAAGCAGTGCATCAGAGAATGTCTGAGGGACTTACTAAGTGTCCCAAATGCACTTAATGAATTGTTGAGGCAATAACGGACCGATGAAGAATTGGTCAAAAACCGATGACGCATTGGTTAAGAATCAATGACGTATTGATCAGAATTGTTAACGTAAAGAGTAACCGCAAAGGTGTGGGCTCTCAAACAAAAATCGTAACGAAAAGTTCGTTATAAATATTTAATGTAACATACATGAGACCTGGAAAAACAAAAATGTTTCTGTTCTTAGGTCCAGAGTTCAGACATCAGCGACGCCTGAAAAGTGAGGCCTGCGAGGACGCATGGTGCTGTAGCATGGCCGAAACTGTAAGCGATTAAAAAAAAAAAAAAACAAAAGTAACAATAACAAACCGAAGCGGCGTCGATGGGTCGTTGATTCATCTGGAAATATTAGTGCGGAGTTGGCCATGAAATAGTATTTATTGTGTTTTGACTTTAAGAAATGTAATCTTACGGTCGGGAAGTCGTGAAATACNGGGTCGTTGATTCATCTGGAAATATTAGTGCGGAGTTGGCCATGAAATAGTATTTATTGTGTTTTGACTTTAAGAAATGTAATCTTACGGTCGGGAAGTCGTGAAATACTTGACTGATATATGTTTTACTGGTGAGACAGTTTATGCACAGACACCTTGTAGGCCACTTGAAAAATAAAGATTTTTAACTTAGAGGAGAGTTTTTTTCTAACACTTGTTGCTTCTTAATTGCATTTTAATATTGGGTTTCTTGGTACATTGAGGTAAAATCTGTTTCTTAGTATTTCATCTAATCACTCTTTCCAAGTTTCATTCTCTTCCGTATTCGTTAAAATTTATTTTCAAAACTACAAACACTTCTGATCTGTTATTCAACTATTCCACTTCTTTTTTCCGCTATTGTTAATTAAATTTATTATATTTCCATTGTGTTTCTTTTGGTTATTTTATTTTTGCAAAGTGCATTGAATCACCACCAAACCTAAAAAATAAAATGCTTCATCCGTTCAGCAATAATAACATACTTAAACATGTTCATATTAATTGTAATAATTTCTTTTGACTGACGCATGTGTAGGCTAAATTAATGATCAAAATACGTACGCAGTTATTAATTGAACAGTAGAATTCATTCTTTTATGAAATGTTTTAATATGAGGACAATAAAGGCAACTCATTAAAAAATTTATGTGGCGTTGCGTGCTAGTTAATTACACTTTCTTTACACTTGTAACAAATAATAATCAACTTTTTTAATATACCCCATTACCATTCTGACCTTTAATGGTTTGGATTTTGAAAATCACATGCCATTGTTAATATATTAAGTCGTTAAGCTACTACTTCAAATGTATAAATAATTATTTCATTCAAATTTTCATGTATAAAAAAAACGAAGAAAGGCATCCACTCTGTTTTAGTGTAGGATTATTATTATGTTACTGTTGCGAATAGAGTACAACAGAACTTTGTTAATCACTTTTTATTATTTAACACAACAAAACTACATTTAACACAATTAAAGGTTTATCATTTGACTTGGATTTATAAAACATGCTTCTTTGTCTAAAGCTGGTAAGTGAATGATCTCAATACATCGAATCAAAATGAATAAAATACATATACATATGAAGTTCGCGAAATTCGTTCATATCGGTTGTATACAAAACAAATCAAGCACAAAACAGCTCACCATTACCGCTTCCCCTCACTTCACTGTTAGCGTGAACATATCGCCCCCCTTGGCGTCCATTAGGCGGCAATATCGCTTCCATCTTGTTCGTTGATAGGCAGAATGCACAATTTGTTGGCTGGTCTCTTGATGATAGAAGAAGATGTCCTAAGAGTTGCTGCTCGTACAATTCCATCCGAACCAGGATGAACGGAATCTACTACAGCCAACTTCCATTGTAGCGGTGGCAAATTATCTTCCTTGACCATTACAACAACCCCAGGTCTAAGGGACTGGCCAAAATTCTTATGCCATTTAATACGTTGCTGCATTTCCGAAATGACCTCCTTGGACCATCTCTTCCAAAAATGCTGTACCAGCTTTTGTGTTAATTGGTATCTTGAAAGTCGATTGGAAGGGACGTCAGTCATATCCTGTTCTGGTAGTGTTGTTAGCTTGGTCCCGATCAGAAAGTGCCCGGGTGTTAGAGGTTCCGGATCATTAGGATCAGGACTCAAAGGGCTTAATGGTCTGGAATTTAGACATGCCTCGATCTGGGACAAAACCGTTATAAATTCTTCATAATTTAGAATCGTATTTGACAAAACGCGTTTAAGGTGAGACTTTGTCGATTTGACTCCGGCCTCCCAAAGACCCCCGAAATTCGGAGCCCTAGGAGGGATAAAATGCCATTTGACATTATTAGATGACAACTCAGACTGAATTTCTGATTCGCTTGACCTAAGAAATTTTTTGATTTCATTGTTAGCTCCAACAAATGTAGAACCATTGTCGCTATAAATGTTAGCACAGATACCACGCCGTGAAAAAAGCCTACGTAAAGCAGCCAAAAAAGAAGCCGTCGAAAGATCGGTGACCAATTCCAGGTGCATGGCCCTTGTGCTAAGACAAACAAAAACGCATATGTAAGCCTTAATCAACTTATAATTTCTCGTCATTCTGTCTTTGATATTGAAAGGACCACAAAAATCAACTCCAGAATTCATGAATGGTCGCGCAGGCGTTACCCGTGCAGCCGGTAGATCACCCATTCTGTATTTTACAGCTGTAGCATCAAATCTAAAACAACGCGTACAATTCCTGACAACCTTTCTAACTAGATTTCGACCCGATAAGATCCAAAACCGATCCCGAATAGATGCAAGTAGGTTTTGAGGACCTGCGTGTAGGAGTCGAATGTGTTCCCTTTGGACAATAAGTAGGGAAAGTTTTCCCCTGATCGGTAGAATGGCAGGGAATTTTTTCTCATACGAAAAGTTCGAGTGCTTAATCCTTCCTCCTACTCTCAAAATACCTTCAGAATCAATAAAAGGATTCAGTTTCAACAGTTTACTTTTGGAATTGACTTCATTGGAAACAGATAAGTCACTAATTTCCTGGGCAAATGTTTGTGATTGAACTAGTTTTACAAGGGTGTACAATGCCACATTCAATTCTTCAACCGTAAGAATGCCGGAACATAGAGTTTCTCCCACTTTGGAAAGTTTTAAATTTCTAAAAAACCTTAGACAATAAGCTGTTGTTCTGATGAGCTTATTTAAATTCGAGGACTTCTCAATTAGATCGAAATCATAAGAGGGAATTGTGGAAGCCAAAGAAATTAACTTTGAGCGAGATTCAGGAAGATTCTCATCAGGCAAGTTTTCTGTTGATTCTGGATTTACTGGCCAACATTCCTTTGGTTTCGAAAGCCAAGAAGGGCCGTACCACCACAAATCATTATGAAGAAGATCTGATGGCAATAATCCCCTTGATAACAAGTCAGCAGGATTTTCATTAGTGTTAACATAACACCACGAATGGACATCTGTTAATGATTGAATTTGAGCCACTCGGTTGGACACAAAAATCTTCCATAAGTGTGGTGAGGATCGTATCCATGCAAGAGTTATGGTTGAGTCACTCCAATGGTGGCAAGCGTCAATTTTTGTGTTCAAAGCAGTTTTAACCTTTTGGGTAAGTTCAGCGCTTAATAGTGCAGCGCAAAACTCTAGTTTTGGGATGGTAATTGTTTTAAGAGGCGCAACACGAGTCTTGGCACATAGTAATTGTACGCGTACATTTTCACAGCTATCAATGGATCTTGCATAAATACACGCGCCATATGCCGACTCGCTTGCGTCAGAAAACGAATGTATTTCAATTTTAGTCGGAAAGTTACACAAAATGTGTCTAGGAATTTTTAAATTGTTAAGTGAATGCAGATCACTTTGAAATCGCTTCCATGTTGTGTACAAATCCGCAGGGATAGATTCATCCCAGTCAAGTTTACAGACCCAAAGTTTTTGAATAATGATTTTTGCAATTATAACTGTGGGTGCTAAAAGACCCAAAGGATCAAATATTTGGGAAATATATGATAGAATTGTTCGCTTTGAAACAGAGTGTTTATCTGAAGCCGTAATCGAATAACGCAAAATGTCTTGGTCGGAGTCCCACAAAAGACCCAGAGTTTTTGCCTCTTGTGAGTGTTTGAATTGATGAGTCATATCTCCTGTATGACGATTATCGGAAATAATTTGAGAATTGTTAGATAAAAACTTTCTTAAATGGAATCCGCCTGAATTTAATATGTCTGTGATCTCACTCTTGATTTGCTGGACTTCTTCGACCGTTTGACCACCAGTGACCAGGTCATCGACGTAAAAGTCTTTATATATTGTCGCGCTAACCTTTGGATTACTATCAGCGTATATATTTGCTAACTCTTTGATACATCTAGTGGAAAGGTAAGAAGCAGAAGCCGTACCATATGTGAGAGTGTTTAAGCGGAAATATTGAATTTTTGAAGAAGGATTAGAACGCCACAAAATGATTTGCAAATTTCGTTGGTCTTCTTGAACTAGAACCTGACGATACATTTTTTCTATATCACCAGTGAGAACGATACTGTGTTTTCTGAAACGAATGAGAATGGAAAGCAAATCTTCCTGGACATTAGGTCCAACCATCAAAATGTCATTTAATGAATGGCCTGAAGTGGTCTTTGCCGAGCCGTCAAAGACTACCCGCAATTTGGTTGTTGTACTGGATTCTTTCATCACAGCATGATGCGGTAGAAAATAGGATTTGTTTGGATTGATTGAATCAAAATCGATTTTAGTCATGTGGTTCAAAGATTCGTATTCTTCGAGAAATCTCGAGTATTCAGCAAACAGATCGGGATTTTTATGAAGTTTCCTCTCTAAAAGTAGAAAACGTTTGGTGGCTAATTCAAGTGAATCACCGAGAATTGTCGGAGGATATTTTAATGGGAGAGTGACTAAAAACCGTCCGGAAGAGTCCCGTACCGTGTTAACTTCAAACGATTTTTCACAAGCCTGTTCTTCGGGAGATAAGAGTTTTTCAGAATGATTCTCGTCAATTTCCCAGAATTTTCTTAGTTGGATGTCTAAGGTATTTGACTGAGCAAAATTACAAGAGATGATACTCCGAGACTCAATATATTTCGAAGGAGAAATGCTTCCTGAAATAATCCAACCCAAGTGAGTCTTCTGGAGAGTTGGACGATCGCTGCCCAACTTTATTTGACCTATGTCCAAAAGGCCCCAAAAATGTCTGGCACCGATTAATATGTCAATTGGACCACTTTCATTGAAAGTAGGATCAGCCAAAAACAGATTCGGTGGAATGTTTATATGATCCATATCAACAGAAGAGACCGGCAAGTTGGAAGTTATTTTGGGCAATACTAGGCAATTTAAATCGAGTTGAAAAGCACTGTGTCTAGCCTGCAGTTTAACACGAGCCCTATGTAAAACCTTGGCCTTGTTTTGACCAACACACGAAATAGAGAGATCAATTTTTGATAAAGGTAATCCGAGCGTTTTACATAAACTAGCAGATATAAATTCGGATTGACTTCCGCTGTCAAGTAGTACTCTACATTGATGAGAGTTACCCTTGTTATCAAAAACGTGTACCAATGCGGTAGATAAAAGTACGCTATTAAAAGAAACCGTGTTGCAAGTGTTAGTAATCGTTTCTTGACTTTCTTTGTCCGGGTTGTTATTAACAGACGCAGTATTGTTTGGAATGTTACCAGTTATTTGTTTATTTTCAGTGGCGACAGAATTGCTTTTTGTTTTAGCAATCGCGTCCGCGTGAAGTAATGAATTGTGATGACCTTCGCATTTGCGGCACGATGAAGACTTACATTTTTCAGTCGCATGATTTTTTCTTAAACAATTCAAACAAAATTTTAAACGTTTTGCTTCAATTATTCTTTTTTCAACATCGAGAGCCAAAAATTCTTTGCAATTGTAGACCGTATGATTCTTATTGCAATATGAACAGACTGGACCACGTGATTCATTGACAGACGAATGGACTTTAACAAGCCTTGACTTATTGTCTACCTTGTTTTCGTTATTTAGACCCAAAGTCTCGAGTAATTTACATTTTTCAAGCAAGAAATTTGAAAATGTCTCCATAGTTACTTTCTCCTTTGACGAAATCAGTTTGTTGTATTCTGTTTCCCATTCTCGACGAGAAACACGATCTAGCTTTGTTGAGACGATATGAATTAGCAAAACGTCCCACGAATCCACCGGTTGATCAAGAGCCTCCAACGCGCGAATATGACGCGTTATCCCATCAACCAGTCCCCGCAAACCCGAATGAGATTCTTTTGTGATTGTTTCAATATCAAATATTGCTTTGATGTGATTTCTTATGAGCATTTCCGTATTTTCATAGCGTTGAACAACTAATGACCATGCTACCGCGTAGTTGGCCGCCGAACACTCCAAAGACTTTAATAAATCAGCCGCTTGACCCTTCAACGAAAGTCTCAGATAGTGGAATTTTTGTACCGCGGGAATGGACTCATTTGAATGAATGAGCGAGATAAACGTGTCTTTATAAAAAAGCCACTGCTCATAGTTTCCATCAAACGTCGGCAATGGTATCGGAGGTAACTTTATATTGGTGTTAGACCCCATAATGGCTGAAACCGCGTCTGATAACTTGGTATCGCTAATCGGATCAAGTTTTTGTAATTGATTTGACAAAAATCGCCTCGCCCGCGAAATAATATCAAAATAAGAGTCTTCAAATCGAGAACGTTCAATTCCATGCTCTTTCAAAGTTAATACGGAATCATTGTCCTCAATTTCGGTTTGTATGTTATTAAAGTCGTCCAAGAGCGACTCCGCTTTGGACAAACGAAGTTCAATCTGAGTCGTATCTGGAGGTGTAGTTGCCGATAGTTTTTCAAAAGCAACCGTAAATCGATCCAAATCAGCAATAATTTTTGAACGTGCATTTACTAATTTGGTAAGCGTTTCCTTTTGTTCGGTCATTTTTGAAATGAAATTGTACCCAAATCAAGCATGCAAAATAAAGGGATCAGATAAAAAATAGGATGGACACTGACCTGATTTTTCTTGAATGGTGATTGTGTTGATTGCTTATCCTACTCGAAGGACCAGAATTTATGTTGCGAATAGAGTACAACAGAACTTTTTTAATCACTTTTTATTATTGAACACAACAAAACTACATTTAACACAATTAAAGGTTTATAATTTGGCTTGGATTTATAAAACATGCTTCTTTGTCTAAAGCTGGTAAGTGAGTGATCTCAATACATCGAATCAAAATGAATAAAATACATATACATATGAAGTTCGCGAAATTCGTTCATATCGGTTGTATACAAAACAAATCAAGCACAAAACAGCTCACCATTACCGCTTCCCCTCACTTCACTGTTAGCGTGAACAGTTACAAGTATTCATTGAAATTCTAAAACATGCAGGACAAGAGGTTGAAGATCGTATATTTAAGCTAGTTTAAGTTAGTCATATTTATTAGACGGGGAAGTTCCAGAGGATTATAAACGGAACAATTAGCTTAACTTCCCATTCGTCAAAAATCTTAACTAGAATTGTACAGATGAGAATATAAAAAAGGGCGGAAGAACTATTAGGGGAAGATCAATTTGGGTTTAAAAGAAATAGAGAAACGCGGGAGGTCATTCTAGCTTTACGGGTAACAATAAAGGAAACGATAGAAAGAACAAAGAGTGCGTACATAGGATTTGAAGATTTAGAAAAAATCTTTTGACAATGTTAAATGGGCCAAGATGTTAAATATACTCAAAATCGTAGGAATGAGTTACCAAAATAGAAGGGAAATACTTAGTTTGTATAAAGAGTAACAAACAGTTATAGAGCTGGTGCTGCAACGTAGAGAAGTAAATATTCGGAAGGGAGTCAGACAGGGATGCACACTGTCATCGCTACTTTTTAATCTATACATCAAAGACGCGATCAACATCATTAAAGACAGTACAACTGTAGGACAAAAAATTAGTATGCTTAGATTTGCTGATGATATAGCAGTATTAGTATCTACCATGGAGTTAGTTAGCTTTAAATAAAATGGAAGCGGCATTAACGAAACAGTTTTGTATAAAAATAAATAAAATTAAATCAAAAATACTAGTATGCCAGGGAAGAAAGAGAAGGAAAAGACGAATATACAGATAGGAGACGAAGTGGCCGACTTTAGGTATCTAGGAAGTCAGATAAATCAGGACGGAAGGAGTAGTAGGGATATAAAGCGGAGGATAGCGCAGAATCGAGTCGTATTCAATAAAAAGAAGTCACTTCTATGCTCGCGAACGGTTAATTTAGAAATTCGGAAATGGCTGTTAAAGGTGTACGTTTGGAGCACGGCGCTGTACGGGGGAGAAACATGGAAAGTGGGCGCGGCCGAAAAGAGAAGGTTAGAAGCGTTCGAAATGTGGTGTTACAGGCGAATGATAAAGAAACCGTGGATAGAGAAGGTTAGAAATAAAGAGGTATTAGAAAGAATAAGAGAACAGAGGACTCTATGGAAGTCAATAAGAAATAGGCGAGTTAGATTAGTAGGACACCTTCTCAGACATGAAGCTCTAGTCAGAGACATAGTAGAGGCAGAAATGGAATTTAGGACGGGTTGAAGTAGACCTATATTAGATTACTGTTTGTAAATAGTTATACAGAGGTTTTAGTCAGTGGTACGGACGGCAGGGTGTCTTTTGAAGATTTCCCCTTTTCTACGAAAACATAAAAAAAATAATTAAGGATATGGGTTGTTCTAGTTTTAGGGAAATGCGAAGATTAGCTCAGGATAGGAAAGAGTGGAGGTGTGTCTCCAACCTGTTTTAGGACTGACAACGTTATGATGATGTGCAACTCTCGTCATAACTGCGGAACGTGATTTAAAAATTGAGCTAATATTAATACTGTAACAATACATGTTGAGTGCCGAAGAGATTATGGAAATAAAAATAATATAGAAGTATATAAGAGGCATCGCATTTGAGAATGCCCGAGTACATCACAACGCTATTCACCGTAGGAAAGACTATCAGCGTCAAGCTCTTTCGATTTTGAAAACATGTGTTTATTCTGTTTTGATCCTGTCAGCATAGATCTTGAGATAAAAAACAAAAATAGAAGAGTAAGCATATGCAATGTCAGTACAATATCATTTAAATAAAATCTTATAAATGTAGCAAATATCAGTGACATTCAATTTAACGGAACAATGGTAAATCGTATCAACAGTGAATTTGATTTGATTGCTGCAAAAGCCAATTATAACAAGCCGTGTTACAGTAGGTTTTGTAAGCCCCTATTTAATAGCAAGAACGTTCGACCATAGATAAACTAATGGCTGCGGATAGGGAAATAATTTTTGATTACATTGAAAATCATGACAATTACGAATCTACAATGGTAGAGCTCAAGGAATTGCAAGGAGATGATGCATCTACAGATGTGACGGTACAGACAAAATTAATCAAAATATATGACAAAAATATTATTACACACACGCGAATATTCTGAAGAAGAACGTTTACGAATTTTTGAAACTGCAGCAACTAGTATAAGAGAAGATATCCGCAGTACCATTGTTACCACTAAATCATATCCTCCTCTCGGTGATATGTTCTCAAACGTTAATGCGGAAATCCCTGAAAGCCTGTAATTAAAAAAAAAAATAAAAAATAAAAAAGGACAATTTGAAAACCAAGTGTGCGGCTATAAGTAATGTTATTATGTCCTCAGTGAGACCACTATCATTCTGGTCGCAGTTATTGATTGGTCGTCTGTATTTTTACATCGGAGTATGGATCGAAACGGTTTATATACGTATTAGCAAATTTTGATTTTTTAGTTTCCTATAAAGAAACTGTAGAATACGAAGTTTCAACTATTTATCATTTCTCCTTCTCAAATTTATTACCACCAGAATCAAGTTCTCCTATTCAATATGCAGCTGATAATGCGGATATCAACGTATCTACATTATATGGTCACAATACACTGTATGAAATGGGAATTATCAAAATAATTTCCCCTCAAATTGTTTATAACCTACAAATCGTTATGTGTACACCAGTACCAAGATGAAAAGAATTAGAAAGACTTTCACAGATGCCTCTCCACATGTATGAAAATCATACTGTGTCTGAACTGCTGTAAAATTGCAGCTAAAGACATTAATTATAAAGAAGTATCAATTGAAAATATGTTGGATGTATGGCATGTGGGAATGTGTGCGAGGCCTACCAGGTTAGAATCAATTTCTTGACCATCTATGTTAAAAAGATAAGCGGGTAATTACAATACTGTTTATTAAAGTGTGCTGTAAACAGCTTTTTAATAATAGTAAAACATATGTATTGTTACATTTGATCAACCACTATTCACGAAGGCACGTGAAATAGAAGCTGCTAGTGAACCTGGATCAGAAATGTTGACAGTGATTGTGAGAATAGTAGGATTTCATATGTTGATGTCATTTTTAGGATGTATAGGCAATATAATGGCGGGAAGTGGAGTAAACGAAGCCCTTAGTGTTATATATACCGAGGTATATGGCAGCAAAATGATACTTTTCTTTGGGGTTTTTAATAGATATGCAAATTATATTCAAAATCATTTTGTAAGTAACGTCATCGTTGTATTGGTAGATATGACGACAATAATAAAAATATCAAGGCTATGGAGCAATCATGAAGAACCACTATGGTCTCTGGATCTTTTGAAATTATTTGAAAAGTAATTAAAAAAAATTATTGCAAAGCTCATGGAAACATTTAAAAGTAGATGTTTTAATTATTGAAACTGCAATGGAAGAATCGGTTGCTAATGCAACTGTTGTTGTCTGCGAAGACATTGGCCTTTTAGTTCTTCTGATGGTACGTAGCAGACAAAAACAATTTTTTTTCATCAAATGAAGTAAGGGGTAAATGAAAGGCAACATGTCGTGACTGGATGCGTTACCACTTCATATTTGAAATATAATCAATATATTTGAAAAACTTCCTAAAAAATGATAACATTTTTGTATATAAAATACCACAAATGGCGTGGTAAACGCTATCTGTAGTACAATGCTACATTTTAGGATTACGTTTGCTTCAACAAGGTCCATTTAAATATATGGATATCTACTTGCTAAAACGAATCCCTGCGTAGCTAACCTCAACGTGATAGGCACGTTACCATAATCGAATAAAATAATTCGAAGTGGTCTGTATTCTGTCGACACTGCCATTTGCCCGAAGAGCAGGTTCTCATTACAATGTGGCTGGAATTTATTTAATAAGTTCTAAGGTTTTTCTAAACAAAAGGAAAACGAAAACTAGATAATAATGAGAGCTTCGATGTATGATTTCGACCACTCTTCTATCTTGCATAAAAAGAGTAATCCATGNGCGCGGTAAACGCCATCTGTAGTACGATGCTACATTTTAGGATTACGTATGCTCCAACAAGGTCCATTTAAATATATGGACATCTACTTGCTGAAACGAATCCCGGCGTAGCTAACCACTGCGTGATAGGCATGTTACCATAATGGAATAAAATAATTCGAAATGGTCTGTATTCTGTCGAAACTGCCAGACGCGGATCGTGAATTCGATCTTATTGGATCTCACCAACGCGTCGCAGACAGCTTCGACAGAACAAAGACCAATTTTTACCTGCTGTCTTAACAGCGCGTTTTAGAAAATACCACAAATGGCGCGGTAAACGCCATCTGTAGTACAATGCTACATTTTAGGATTACGTATGCNGGTGTTAAGTGGAATAAAGACCTGGATCAGATTACTATTCACAATTAGTTAACGATGTGGGATGTTCTAGTTTACGGGGATATACGACCTTATGATAATGAAGTTGGCACATAATCACATTTTGATTACAGTTAAACAATGTTTTAAAGAAATACACTACTGTGTTAAATAAAGGAAAGACGTCTTTGTTCGGGCTGTAATCCACTTCCGCGTACTGTTTGTCTATTCGTTATGTATGCAAAATGGATAATATTAAAAAAAAATAGAACTTGGGCGCCACTTTGCTAAGGCCAAGAACTACAGACAATTGCTTCGGGAGAAATCTAGTTAGGGGTTCCTGGATTTAGCTGATTGGCAATGAGACCTCGCAGTTCTCATATAAAAACCAAATTAACAATTGGAAGTAATTTACTAACATACAAACACATTTATAAACGCCGTGAATATTTCACAAAACAAAAAGAAAGCTGGGAACATATTTCAAAATACAAACACAGTTATTAGTTCCACAGTAGAATTCATTCATTTATATTTACTTTAGTTGTGAATTTGGTAAAGAGATCAATAGAAATGAATGTGATTTTATTGATATTGTTGTTATTGGGATGTTGTTTTACAATTCAAGGTAAAGACCCATGTGTTTGTAATACTGAATATAATCCAGTTTGTGGAACAGATGGAAAAACATATCCTAATAAGTGTGTCCTGAAGTGTAAAGCACGTCGAAAGCGTGGACTAAAGATAAAACATAGAGGATCTTGCCATTGAACCTAAAGAAGAAG